CCTTTCCCTCTGATAATCACCATACTGTTGTCTGTTTCCATGAAGTTGTGTTTTTTTGTTGGTGGTGTGTGTGGGGGTTTTTTTGTTTGTTTGTTTAATCCCTTTACCTTTTTCACCCAGCTCCTGAACCCCCTCCCCTCTGACAGCTGTCTGTCTGCTCTCTGTATCTATGAGTCTGTTACCACCAACCGGTGTTCTCAATCACTGTCTGTCATTTTCACCTCAACCATCTTGGTGCTTATCTGTCTGGAGCAGTGGTTCTGAAACTGGGTCCCTGGCCCTGCAGCAGCATCTGAGAACTTGCTAGAAATGCAGATTCTCAGTCCCCCGCCCCCAAACCTACTAAATCAGAAACTCTGGGGTTAGCACAGCAGTCTGAGTGGGGGTTTTTGTTTGTTTTCTTATTTGTTCTTTCAGTTTTAGTAATCTGTGTTTTAACATCCCCATCCCCCAGGATCTGATACTCGTTTGATGTTCCAGAGCCCTATATTCTTATAAGTCCCAGGGCATGTCCCATGCTCATGCTCAGTTCTAAAGTGCTGTTCAACTCCATTATGTTCAACAAAGGAAAGAAACTATAATCATGCTGAAAGAGCGAGTAGGAAGAGATAAATAAACATTTTACAAGTGAAAGCTGAGATAACTTTAAAGATCAATGGAGGGAACATGACGAACGCTGCACGTTGGTGTGGGATGACTCACTTGATGATAGGAACAATGCTGAAAACACGAATCAAGCAGAGTGTCTGGGATGCAGAGCCTGTGCGACAGAGAACAGTCTCAGGATACAGGGAAAATGACCTCAAATTCGTAGAAATGTGAACACAGGGCCACAGGCTCAGCATCAGGAGTGGAAACTCATGGGCTTCATGGGAGTCCGGAGAATGCTGGGCATCTGTGTGTTGTGCTGGGGATTAGAGTGACAGGTTGGCTCCTAGTAGGGAAAGGCTCACTGAATAGTGTCAATGCTCTAGCTCAGTGGTCAGCAAACTCATTAGTCAACAGAGCCAAATATCAATAGTACAAAGACTGAAATTTCTATTGAAAGCCAAATTCTTTAAACTTAAACTTCTTTTAACATCACTTCTTCAAAATAGACTCTCCCAGGCCGTGGCATTTTGTGGAAGAGCCATTCGCAAGGGGCCAAAGAGCCTCATGTGGCTCGAGAGCTGCAGTTTGCCGACCACTGTTCTAGACTATTTATTAGCAGGCCAGAGAGCACGAACCAGTCTTCCTAGGCCAGACCACAGGAGTTAGCTAATCGAAAGTTTTTCCATACAGATGAAACTGCTCTGTTTTACAGTAAAAAGAGATGCCTGGTAGGAAGTGCATCAGATGGAGAAATTATGTCAGGTTTTAAACTTTGAAGGACCAAGTCAAAGTGAAAATCCAATCATTATCTTTTGGATCTACCCCAATGGATCGATAAACCATCACTTACAACCAAACGCATCCACAGGAGCTACTGGACATACATACCCAGGGCCATTAAAATTCAGCATTTAAAATGCAGAACTCCCCACCCCCTATCTCCTGAGATCCCGATTTATTCAACTGGGATGGAGCCCATTTTTAACTAGCTCCCTAAGGGATACTGAGGCAGATGGTCCCTGGACCACAGGGCCGACTGCCATTGTGGAAGAAAAATTGGAATCAAGAGCTGTACTGAGTCGCTTCACCAACACTGCTGGGCAGAACGCAGCCTGAAACCAAAACACCCCCCCTCCGGAGCCCCGATTTAGCACTTGTTCCCACAGCACAGATCAGGGAAGTCAGCAGTAAATGAGTAACGTGTTACATAATTTGCTTCTCTGTATGCAGAACCTTAATCCACCAAAGAGAAGTTAAAACCATATAAAAAGCAACAGCCCACCCCCAAAACAAATGCTGGGGAAGCGTAGCCAGGTTCTCCCCAGCCACCTTCTGCCAGACAAGGATGAGTCCTCCTCAGTGTTGAAAACCCCATTAGCTCCAGCCACTGGGAACTGGACCCTTTGGTCAAGGTGGCCGGGAATGGCAGGGGGAGGGGAGTAAAAGAGGAGGAGGAAGAGGACATCTGTTCCACGTGAGCACTGACATGGCATCATCAAGGCTTCCCTCTTGTTGAAAGCATAAGTGCAAACATGTACTTGAGTATACCTCTGACCCGTTGCTGGAAAGTTCTGGAACCACAACACACCTTCTGCCTTGGATCTTGTCCAAGAACTCCAAACCACCCTCTCTCTCTAGAAAGGATTTCCAGTCTTTTCCTCTCCCCAGTTACCCAAGACCTGAACAATGAGCTAGTTCTCACCAGGGTGTTGAAGGCTAACAGTGGTTGGGACATTTATCACCCAAACGACCACAGAAGATGTCAAGAGGGGAATGGCAAAGGAACACCATGTATAGAACATATGTATGACTCCTAATGAGCCAGGCTCAGGAGTTCTCAACTAGTTCTAGACTGAGCTAGAGACATCCACTTTGAACTGATTGGAGCATACATTTAAGTTTCAGAGGAATTAGTCCTTAACTATCTTTTTATTTTGCTATTCCAAGCAGCTAAATAGTGACTAACCTTTAGGAAGTTTTCAAAAAAATAAGTACTGAATTGACTTACATTGACATCTGATATAAAACTTAATTGCCACCCTCATATTGCCACAGTGCATTAGAGTTCCCCAGGGTACTTGTGGAAAAACCATCTTCTCCCTGGACACTGTGGCTCTGTTGGTTGGGTGTCATCCCGTGCACAATGAGGTTTCTAGTTTGATTCCCAGTCAGGGTACATGCTTGGGATGTGGGCTCGACCACCAGTGGGGAGTGTGCAGGAGGCAGATGATCTATGTTTCTCTCTCCTCTCACCTCCCTCTATCTCTCTCTTAAAAAACACACACACAACAAAAATATATTTAAATAAACAAATACAAATAAAAACCCATCTTCTGGGCTCTACCCCAGACATAGTATATCAGACTCCCTGGGACCTGCTTTCTTAACAAGGTGCCAGCCAATCTTACACATGTGCAATCTGAGAACCACTGCCTTCTCTTTATGGGGATTCTCCAGGACCCCAATGCTGTGGGATGTAATTAAACAACAGGGCCCTTTGGGAACACTCAGAGCAGAACACAATAACGGCAGGCAGCATCCTCCTCTCTGCCACGGATGGGCCCCAGTGGAGTACAGAACACAGGGAAAAAAGGGGGCCAACCAGACACCCGAGGTGAGAAAGGTCTGGAGAAGCATTCTGGAGCTGAGGTTGGACATGAACAAAACCACCTCTGATCCCAATGTGGGGTAGCATGCCCATCATCAGATCATGAAGCAGGGAGCACCAACTAGGTCAAATGGCTGGCACCCTGCCCCACTTGGGAAAGTTGCAGGGAACAAGAGGTACACCTTTGCCTAGACTTCTCCACTGCCTTCTCTCCTTCATGCTGCAGTTTGGCAGCTTAAGTGAACAAACTGTCCTCCCTCATGCCCATCATCAGATCTCCCACCTCTCTGCAGCCACATTTTGAGCCAGGACAGGGCACTTCTACCAGCGGGGAATGAGGAATCATGCCCAGGTTCCTTCTGTCTGCATCCCAGGAGCCTCAGAAGCTCCCCTCGCCAGCTACCCTCCCTAAGACAGGGAATGCCTTTACTGCCAGCAGTTGTCTATCACAGGAGCACCAAACACAGATGTTTGTGCCAGGCCTCATTTATACGAGCCCACTCCTCCTGGAAAGATGAGTTTTTTAAGCAAATACCGTTTATGTATGGTAGCAGGCAGAGTCATGTCAGCATCAGGAATCCCCAGACGGAAACGGGAATCAACCGGGGGCAGAGACTGCTCAATAAATCCTGACTGGGTGAAACTCCTCTCTGGAGAAGGAGGTACCTGCAAGCGATTGCTCCGATTCCCGGGCAAGAGTCCCTGAAGACATCACACTCTCCCCAGCGGGACAAGCTGAGCACTCGGAACTCTGAAAGCACCATCACCCATCCCTCCGGGAGCTCTTCAAGCCTGTCCCACCAGTGTTCATTCACCCCTGTTCCCACTCACACTCTGGTTCCACCCAGGCCATGGAGGACCCTACTCTGTTGGGCACAGGCACTCCACACTCGTGCAGGATTTCCTCACATCCCAAGGCTCAGGGTTCTGGCAACTAAGGAAAAGAATGCCACCACATACACACACAGATATCCAAGAGCTAGGGGAGTGCACATAGGAGGTACACACAGCTAGCCTGGAAGACTCGGCCATAAGGACTCAGTCTGGGAGCAATTTGACTATTAGAGCAACGTCTGGCTTGGGAGTGTGATTTACCTGGGCTATTGCCTACTCTGACTTTAAGTTTGCCTTCGGGAACTCTGTAAGGGGGAGGAATTCTATCATCTTTGCTGTTACTTCCAGGATGGAGTAAGAAGTTAGGGGCACAGGATGGGACAGGGCAGCATGTACGATGTAACTCAGAAATGGGGAAAGGTCATTCGTGTTAGTTATAGATGAGGAGCAAGAGGCTCCAGCTTCCACATGAGTTAGTAGAATCCAAGTCCAAACTGGGTCTGAGGAGGACCAGACCCCAACCCAGACCTCACCTCTGTGGATTACCCTGCCAGGCACCCCAGGAGATTGAAAGCAAGGGCTCTAAGAGGTGTGTGCCACCCCAAAAAGGCACTGGCCCTCAGGGGACATGAGCCTCAGATCCTGATAGGTCAGGACTTTGAGATACCCTCACAGAATAATGTCTAGGATGGTTACCATGGCCTCAGGTGTCTTCAAGTGCAGTCAGGAATCTTGGACCCACTCCAGCCCTTGGTTGGAATACCACTGGCCTGCCCTCCCCCACATGCCCGGGTGTCTGTAACCAATGTGAGCACATGGCCAAGTCCACATGGCCCTAGGTGAGGGAGACCAAAGGAGAATTACTGCCTAGCTAAAAGTCAGGGGCAGATGGGGGTCCTGTGTGTGCATGCAAAGCCCCCACCCGCCTTGGCTGGAGCCAAACGCAGGAGAAAGACAAGCCACCTACCGAGCCCATTCTCTGCCAGTGCCGCATGGGTGATCTCACACTCGCCCAGGTCTTGCTCACCGATGTCATTCAAATCCAAGCCGGGCTGGTGGGACCCGTTTCCAAAGTGCCTCTCGTCCTTCTCGGATCCAGTGTCCCCGTTTTCCATTCCATTCTGAGCCTTTTTCAGGGGTATTATTTGCAAACCACTGGGGGTAGTCCTGTAAGACACCGTCTTGGCGGCCCTGTCACCTGCCGCAGGGGGCTTGGCGGGATACCCTTTCTTCGGCTTGGACAGGGAAGGGTTGATTCGCTTCCGTTTATGAGAAGTCCCCTTGCTCTTCCCAGACTCTGAAGGTCTGCTGGAGAGTTTCTCCACCGATGGGCCTCGGCTATCGCGCAGGAGCTTGGAGGTGCTGGCCTGCTTCCCTGACTTGATCCTCTTGTCCTTGGACACGTGCAGCCCGTTGAACTCATCGATAAACTCCTCACAGTGCAGCAGGTGGTGCTCTGGCTCCCACGTGTCCTCCGTGCTCCCGTAGCCTTTCCATCGGATGAGGTACTCCCATTTCCCTTTCTTGTTCTTTCTCTTGTCTACAATCCTTTCGACCTGGGATACAAGATGAGAGCCAGGAAAGAGAGAAAGGGGGAAAAAATCAGTCCCAGATAAACAAGAAAAGCACAAAGTCCTCAGGACAGAGGCTACGTCCTGGCCAGGGGCAGGGGGCAAGGCCCGTGACACTTTCAGGAGCGGTCAAGGTGGCTGGTTTATTTTAGGACATCACTGAATGGAACCCAAGGTACATGGTCATGTCCCATGATTTGCTGATGCTATGCCTGGCTGGTGGCATCTGTCTGTCCATCCATCCAAGGCTTATTCTTGCTTGAAATGACATTACAAGTTTTCATGACAGATCTTTATTCTTTTCATTGCACCAAAGTAGAATCAGACATTTAAAGGCCAATTTGCTGTTGGTTTTTCACCCCTGCGGCTGCTGCTACTACTACTACTAATAATAATAATAATAATAATAATAATAATAATAATGATGATGATGATAAATAATACGTAGTATTTATTAAGCATTTATATGGTAGGCACTACTATGCTGATGTAACCTTACTTATAATACTAATTATTAGTAACATTCATTGGGCACATATGAGGCAGACGTTACACTAAATGCTGGGCATGGATGTCTCCATTTCCTTTTGTCCTGATAACAAACCAATGCAGTAGGTATTCTTTCTAATCCCATTTTACAGTGAGGAAACTTGGGCTCAGAGAGATAAAATCCCTCACCAAATTCCAATCTGGTAAAGGCAGGGCTAGGATTGGAACCATACTCCCCAGAGATGTATTTTCTTAATCATTATGCCATACCAACTCTCATTAACAAAAATCTCCCATATTGATAAAAACGAATTGATTTGCCAAAGCCCAATTCCTCCCATTTAGAGCCCCATGCTGCAAAATGGGGTGAAACTGAGGCAAGATGATAGGTAATATTTGCAAAGACCCTATTATGTGCCTTATATAACCCCATGAGTGTATTCATGCTACCATTTGATAGAAGACGGGATTGAGGATGGGGCACCTCCCCTACAATGCAGGGCTAAGAAGGGTGAGATCTGAATCTAAATCCATCTGGCTATAAAGCCATGTACTACTGTCTTCATACCTTCAAATGTAAGATAATCTCCTCTATCTTCAAGTAATCCCCAAAAAAAACACACTTAGGAAAATGCCAGTCCTAAAGCTAATAGCCATTGTATCTAGGTGAAGGGTATGTGAGGGTTATTTACTTATTAACCTTTCAACTTTGCTCTAGATTTGAATTTTTTAATTAAAAAAATGACAGAAAAGTTTATTTCTCTACCCCCAACAAGCAAAATTTTAAGGAAAGATTAAAAAATTGCATTCAAACATTTATTATATTTCAATTTCAACATAATATACTTTTCTAGAATAGAAATTTGGCATTAACTAATAACCCAGAAATTTATAAAAAGAAAAAATAATATGAGAGGGGAAAGTGGGTATATAGTTGATAATTGTTGAAGGTGGGGAAAGGGTATGTGAAGGTTCATTATATGCCTGTTAACATGTTTGAATTTTTATGTTTCATTTTTTCCATAGTAAAAAGTAAGAAATTTTTGAACACTGAGATTTTTGTACCACAACAGAGGCTACGAAAAATAATTAAATGACTTCCATTTGCACTAAATAAATAAGCAAATAGCTAAGACATACTGCTTCTTCATAATACTGCTTCTTTGTAGACAATTTTAATTGTCTCCTTAATTAATTAATCTCCAAATAGGCTTACTCTATTAAAATTTCTTTCCTTAGAAAATGCCCTGTGAACATCTGTTTTAAATGTAGTAAATAATTTTTAGCAGTATAACACAAATTCTAACAGCTTTCAAAAGTAAAATTATATAAAGCTAATATAACTTCCAATCTTTGGGTCAGGAAAAGAGACTTTCCCTGACTAGCTAAGCATTCATTTATGATAATTTTCAGGAAGTCAAGGTGTTTGTGGAAGAGCCTGCAGTTTGCACATTTGGAGGATGTTGAGGGGGAAAAACCTCCACAGGTTGACAGAGGGAGGAAAGTGAACAAGCAAACAGCAGCATTCCCAAGAACACCAACCTACGAGGGTCAGGAGCAAGCCCACATATGTCTGGGGAGCTAAGGAATTTGTGTTGACAAGAGGGTCTCCAGCTTCAGAAAGCATATGCTTGGCCCCCAGAATGGAGAAACTTCTTGCCCAGATGAAGCAGAAAGCCATGCTAGACAAAGAGACAACATAATAAATAGTCTTGTAAGGTGGATGGGTAGGTGGAAAGGTGAATAAATGGGTGAATAGAAAAATGGATAGTTAGTGGAAGAATAAACAGGTGGGAGGACAGTAGAATCGGGGATGAATAAAAGGATGGGAAAATGGACTGATGATGGATGGGTGATGGGTAAAAGGGTGAATAGAGAAATGAATTCTGGAATAAATGGTGGCTGGATAGCACTCATTCATCCAAATGAGTGTGATACAGTATTTAAGAGCACGGGCCATGGAGCAAGACTATCTGGCTTCAATCTCCTGCGAAGCCTTCTATCATGTGTTCTTGAGCAAGTTACTAACCCTCTTCGGGCCTCGGATGACTCATCTAGCAAGGGGGAAATAACAGTACGTCATAGGGTAGCTGTGGAGAGTATACAAATAAGTAGTTTTGCATTCCAAAGTAAAGGTCACTTAATCTTGCAAATTCTCCTGTGAATACAAACCTTGATGGTAATCTAGAGACAGATCATTTCCCTATCCTGCAGAATATGACCTTCTTAGACTACACAATGCCTCCCTGGGAAGAAGACAAAGTCCTCCCGCTTAGATGGCTCTCAGAGTAGGGCTGCTGGAGAAGCCTGGGGAGTCAGCAAGGGTGCAGTGTCAACACCCCTAACTGGAACCACAACAAAGGTGGGGGGAAGGGCAGCTTGGTTTTTCCCCCTCCACATTACTGAAGGATTGAGTCACAGAGTCACAAGTGGCTTTATAGGTGACGGAAAGGCCACTGCTGTCACCTCTGGTCCCATCCACAAATCCACTGCATGGTGTGACCACCACTTCTACTCAAATAATGCCAATAATGAACCCTATTAACAGGGTTGTCCCTAAGAGTCTGATGTGTGGGGAGAAAAAACTGTGGGCTCCACCACTTTCTACCCACATGACCCTGGGCAAATTGCCCAACCTCTCTAGCCCTCAGTGTCCCCATCTATAAAATAGTACAGTAATAGCAATAACAATAATAACAACAACAATAATAATAGCAATGGCAGCAGCTACTTGAAAGGTTATTGGAAGAAAGAAATACAATGGGGAGAGTAAAGTGCCCGAACACTACAGAGCACAAGGAGGTGAGTGAAATTGCTCTAATACGTATGAAATTTCAAAGGACAAAAGGGCTGTTATATACATTATTTCCTCCACACTTTAAACATTTTTTTTAAGTTTTTTTTTCAGGCTTAGAAAAACAATTATGTTTTTTTTTTTTTTTTTTTTTTCTGAAAGATCAAAATGCCCACAAGGAGTTCATACCCCATCGTCTTTGAATGTGCCATCTCCTGGGACTTATCTCCTCCCTCACATACCGTGAAGGTTTTCTGACCCTCTTCTCCTCGTTTTCTCAGGAGCACCCCAAATAGAATCAGAATCCTAATTTGTTCTGTTGCTAACAAAGGCCCATGTTATTCATGACCTGATCTCACGAAGGATTGCAACCTTCTCTGTCCGAGAAATCCTTTCTTCTTCTTAAGCTCCCCCAATCTCCACCACTATCCCCTAACTCCACACACCTGCTGACAACAGAGACCTGGGCCTCCAGGTGCTGGGGGCTGGTTCCTGATGCCCCCACCCCCTACCTGCACAGGACCCCCTCCACCCTCCACATGGTGACAACCCCATCAATCCCTTTCCCTTTTCCATGCACTTGATAACCACCACGTGGGTGATATTTTAAAACTTTATGCTCATACCCATCCACCAGCTTCTCTTTTCAAAGACAAGCAAGCTGAGACTATGGATTATTCCTTAGAGTTCAATCAAATCATTAAATAACATTTACTCTCTGTAATTGCAGCTAGTATGGCATGTCATTCTACTGCAGGTTGGGGCAGGAGAATCCTGATGCATTATTAGTAGTGCCACAATGACGAGTGAATAGCTATCTCATTAGGAAAACTAATGATGGCAATCACCATTATTAGAACACCAGTGGCCTGGTGCATGTATTCATCACATTGAAATGAAATTAACTAGAAGAAATATTTTAATATCGTTATTCACCCTTTCTCTATAATAGAAGTGTCAACCAAATTCACGATCGACAATGACAGATCAAAACACATGCATGTGATTGGTGCCAGCAAGAGCTTTATATGTATCACGCATGCGTGAGTCAACTTAGCCTTTTATATATACAGAATAAACTTGCTTAATTAGACGCGCTTTCTGATTTAAATGAACTTTTTCCAGCCCAGTGAAGCACCCAACTTCTCTATCAGGTAATTGTCAGCAACACAGCAGTAAATTTCAACATGAAGCAGATTATTAGTGTAGATCACGCAGGGAGAACAAAGGGTAAAATATTTAACTGCAGCAGTGTTTGACTATATTCTGCTCAGTGCAAAAACCTGAAGTCATTTTCGAGGTCCATTTCTTACTTCTTTCCAGTCGGGTCAAGTTTCTGAACTTTCTAAAATCTCTGTTTTCTGGCTAATGAAAAGAAAATAGGATTCTACTGAGTCTCCTACCTACCTACTCCAGGACTTGTGTGTGGATCAAATGAGATAAGGCACTGGAAAACACTTCACAGATATTTGGGTAAAGTATAAAATGTTTGCACCTGGCTATAAAGCAAGTCAGGTTCCTGGACTGAAAATACTACAAGGAGGCCAGTAGCCAGTGCGAGGAAGCCAGGCGTTGCTATATGACCTCATTACCCATCGCCCACAGTGACCGTTTTGGGCTGGGCTGGGCTGTGGGCTACATTTTTCACCATGGGGTCCCAGCAGCGTTGGCTGTAATTTGGTGGGCTGTCACTCCAAGGTGG